TGAGACAGGGTCTCCCTGTAGCCCCAGCTGTCCTGGAACTCACTGTAGACCAAGCTGGCCTTGAATTCACAGAGACCCACCTGCCTCTGCCTCCCGAGTGCTGGGACTAAAGGTGTGCACCACCACAACCCAGCCAGTTTTCCTCCTCTTAAAACGTCTTTGTGCTGGCTGATTTTCTTGACCACATGCATTAGACTTTTCTCTTCATCTTTTATAGTCTCATGTTTATGCATCGCACTCACTGTGTCCACTTAAGACTTGTTCACCAAATGGGCAGTCTTGGCCTTAACTATTTCCATTAAAGTGTTTACTTCTATGGGTGCCAGGGACATTGTAGTAGAGATGGGCTCTGAATTTGGAGGCCAGCACATGTGACAGCCATGGTAGTGACATGAGAAGGACAAAGGGCAGGACTGGGCACATGGTATGATGGCAGCTAATGGACAGCTTCTGAACTGTTTGTACTAGGAAGTCTTCTGGTCTTCTACGAAGCTCCCACTGTTGTCTTTGTTGACATGTAGTAACTGGAGCACAGACAGAGTGGTGCAATAACTGCTGAATTAACAGTATTCTGGGAAATGTGATTTGATTCTGTAAAAAGCAGAAGGCAGATAATGCGGAGATTAAGATCAGTGTGAGTGACACTTTTTGGCCTTAGGAACAGCTTAGTTGGCACACATTAGTGCAGTGTTCTACTGAGGTGAGTCTGTATTCACATAAATGGAGAGTTTCAAGGTTGGAATCGGCAGATGTTGGGAGGTATCAAGGTTGAAAAAGTCACAGAGTATGAAGGAAGGACTGTCCGTTCAGCGTTCTCTGCCTCAGTTATGTTAGTGAGAGTTCTGCATTCAGGGTGTTTAAATGCTGAACACTTATACGTTATTCCTTTAGAAATAATTACTCTTATAAGAGATTAAAAGAATGCTCTTGAATTTTTAGATTCTACATCTCAAGAGAGCGGACAAAGCAGAAAGGCTTCCAGGAAGAGGGTGTGTCCCAGTGACTCAGAAAGTGGCTCACAGGGGGTTAAGTCATCACAGGACAGGATCACACAGAGCAGTTCAGGCATGGCTGCCAGGAAAGTCAAGCTCAGGAGCAATGCAGAAGATGTCAGTACAGAGAGTGTCTGCACACGAAGCAGAGGTGGAAGGAGAAAGCCCCTCCGCTCTTGTACCACAGCTAAGAAGATGCTGACTGAAGGTGGGAAGCACACAGACCATGAAATGCCAAATGATGAGCCTGCCGGTGAAGGTCAGCTTCTTGGGCCCGAGTCACAAGGCATTAGTCAGCCTGCAGACGGAGACTCAGGTTCTGAGGGCGTGTCCCATTTAGGGCACAAGGACAGCCGCATCAGTAGTCACAGCGTAAATGCACTTTCTAAAACCAGGAGCTCCTCTGTTGGGTCTTCACAAGAAGATTCCAAAAGCCATGGTTTAGGGAGTGAGATTAGTAGCTTTTCTTCTGAGTCAATTTTGGCACAAAATGCTACGGTTGAGAATAGCTTTGAAGAGGAATTGAATTACGGACTGCGTAGGTGGAATGGCAGAAGGCTCAGGACATATGGAAAAGCTCCTTTCAGTAAGACGACACAGGTGATTCCTGATCTCCAGACGGCAGAGGTGGAAGTTAAAAGGAAAAGACTGCATCCTGAGTTGGAAAATGTGAAAATGCCTGAGACCAGTGGGGGTTCAAGGTGTGGACCTGACACCAGTCCCAAATCCTCAGACTTGGGGTCAGTAACTGAGTCAGATGTTGACTGTTCTGATAACACAAAAATCAAGAGGAGGAAAACCAAAGGAAAAGCGAAAGTAGTTAGAAAAGGTAAAACTTTTACAACTAACATATCTAAAACGGTGAGGCATCAAAGACAAAGTAAGCGTCCTAGGTTGGATGTGTGCGATGACGACTGGGAGGACTTGGACTATGCAAAATCTAAGAGAGTTGTTCGGCGCTCAAAAATCAAAACGAGAAATCAGGGTAGAAGGACTGTGAGGTACCATGATGGGGACGAAGAGCGCGGCATAGAGAGTGTGTTAGAGCTTAGTGACCGTACCTCGTGACCCCAAGGGAGCCAGTGTGTCTGAATAGCAGGTGGACTGCGGTTCATCAGAAGGCTGGCTGATAAAATTATTTTTTCGTCTTATAAATTCAGGGAATAGATTTATATTTTTCTATGAAAAGTTATGAATGTGAGTAAATCATGACTGTTATTTTTATTTGCACTTGCTGGTTTTTGAAGCAGCATTCAGCACAGGTGCCAAAATATGCTTCATTTTGGGGGCAGATCTACTTTGACAGTATTTAACAACACATAGCAAGCTTGAGACTCAAACACTAGGAATCTTGGTTACCCAAACCAATGAGCATTACTTTTATAGTAGCAAGTTGTTTCTTCAGTTTGTCCAGAGGTCGTGGTTCCTAAACCTTCTTGTAGAGAAGAGTAATTCACATGACCTGTGTTTACAAACTATTCATAAATATTATGTGCATTCTGACATGGTAATCATGGGAAGTCAACCATGATTAGTAGGCAAGGTACCTACCACTTTTTTTTAAATCCCTTTCCCTGGAGACTTGAGTGGAATACATTATGCCATGTTTGGTCATTTTTATTGGTTTTTTTTTTTTTTTTTTTTTTTTTTTCAGATTCTGTTGGGTCTTATTCTTTTAAGGAAAACCTGATCACTTTTATTTTATAAACTTGAATATATAAAGTGCTGGTAAATTATTTTCAGTGTTTTGAGTGCATATTTTAAAAACTCTAAGTCGAGTGTATAGTCCTAGTATTTTCATTGAGATTGCACAGCAACAAAATGTTATATAGTCTGCCCTTTGCCCAAGATCTACTTTTCATGAGGATTTACCAAATCTTGCTCATCCATAATCTTACTCTGAAGTAGAGAAGTGTGCCTTAGATTTAGGGAAGTGTTTAGTAGCGTGTACAGGGCTAAAAGAGTATTTAAATTACCTCTAGATAGCCTTCTGTATTAAAATGAGAGCTGAGTTGTTCTAGGACTGCAGTAGCAATCTTACCTATATAGGAAGACAGTTCAGTGTCACACTCCATCTCTCTGAGCTTACTGCTGCCAGGTGCAATCCTAAGCATCCTCTGCTGGGACAGCTTAGTGTACTTTACTAGTTATGTCTAACAGAAGAAACCGTTGTGTACGATGGGAAAATGATTTCAAAATCCATTTGAAGTGGAATGCATGTCACCCCAGGTACCATATTGCACTTGTTTTCGAGCCAGAAACCTTTCCTTGACGATTTTATTTTATGCCAAACTGTGTAGCTGGATGTTCCCAGCATCTTATCCCTGAAATGGTTTACATGATAAAAGGGTGTGTTGCAGGCTTCACACTTTTGAGTTCCTTTTGGCCTTAGCTGTATTTGGTTTCAGACACAAGCAGCCCTTTTCTGCTGTTTCCTTGAGGTGGCAGATGAAGAAAAGCATCTGACTCATAATGTTAGCGTTCCTGAGTTTTCTGCCTTGTTTTTAAAGAGCCGCCTGTGTCATTTGCCATGCATGATAGGAGTGCTCTATCTTTCTGTTCTAATGCAGGGGTAGGATGATTGTGGACAGTCCCAGCTGTGGTTTGTGGGGCACCTATGTTGTTTGGTTTGAAGAACTCTCACCACACAGTGGAAGTTACGGTAGTCTTACTTGGAGCTCTTGATAAATGTGTGGTAGACAGATTGGCTCAGGACAGTTGTCTTTGACTACTGATCTGAAGTTCATCAGATACCTGTTAAGTTTCTGATTTTCAGAATTGGTGATAGTTGTCAGGCTATTTATTTCAATCCTTTCAGGGTTATAGCTCCATGTTTTCCATTGTCTGCAAAAAGGTACCAAAAATCCATAAATTCATACAAAGCATACTCATAAGTACATAAATTCTTTTAGTAAGGTACTATTTTGACAATTTGGATTTCATCGGTAGAACTATTCTCATTTTTGGACTGAAGTAACTAGTCATCAATTGACTAGAAGTTATTTTTTGTTCAAAATGGTTTTAGACCCTTGTGTAGAAGCAGGATTTTGGTTTATCAGGTTAGGTTTCTTCAGAAAAGAGCAAGAATGGGCCTGGTCACCTTAGCAGTGTGATTGACAATGGTGGTTTCTCAATTTGTGAAGTAAAACTAAGGGCTTATAAGAAAGTTTTTTTGTGTGTGTTTTGTTTTTTTCTTATGGTGCTATTTCTAACATTAACTTTGAACATATGACATACTCCCTAAGTACCTTTAAGGATAATTAATAGTTAAAATGTTTACATTGAGCACTAGGTGTTTTGACTTTTTTTCTATTTTATGCGAAATGCGCAGGGATTTAATGCACAGATGTACTTTAATGTTTAGGATCAGTTGGTAGGATCAGTCAGGGTTTTTTTTTTTGTTTGTAACTTTTTTTTTTTAAGAAAAAGTAAATGTGAACTGGTCCAGAAATAAGTGCTGCAGCTTCCCATTGCACTTGACGTATGAAAACGTGACTCCATGGCCCCTCTAGTTTTGTATGTCCAAAGTTCTATGATTTTATTCCTTTATTTTTTTTAAAGGTTATGCAATGTTCAGGTTTGATTTTTTTCCCTTCTTTTGAAAGATTAATATTACCAAGCATATTAAGAAAAAAAACTCAAACATTTAAAATGAATTTTTTCCTATATCTTATTTTCAAAAGGTGTGTTGACATTGTGTAGTAATTTATGAATAAAAAGAAAATTTATCCCATGTTCAGGTAATTCCTAGGGTGGTCTTTTTTTATTTTTTTGGAGTAGAAACCTTCCAACCAAACCCTCTGTTGTTAGTAGAGCCCTTGGGAAGAGAGATAAGGCAGTCAGGGCCAACTTGTAAGTTACAGCCCAGAGGTTTCTTCTGCAGGCCAGTTACCAAGAGAGGAGAGGAAGTTGGTTCTGAGTGAGACATGTTTGCTAAAAAGGCACTTCGTGAACTGGAAGTACAAATGCAAAAGGAGGTTATAAAATGGGTCCATAAAATACCACCGGCGGGGATCACTGTCCCTAGGTTAAGATGTGTTCCTGTGTGCTTGCACTTGTGGGCAAGGTTTTAGGTACAGTCCTTAGTTAAGAAGGCACTGCACACACGACACTCAGTCCCTCTTCTGGGCCTCTTATTTTTTTAAACTCATTGTGCTGTATTAAAAACTAAATCGGATCTTAATCTTCTGTCAGTACAACTTGAATTTAATTGTGTCAATTGAAGCAAAACCTAAGAGGATTGTAAATCAGAAGAATGCAAAAACCATTAAAGATGCCCGTGGTGTTTTGTTTTCCTCTCCACTCCATTGTTGATTCTTCTGGTAACTTGAAATGGTCTTCGTTTTCTCATTTTATGGTTCAAATAATCAGCTCCCTTCTTTTAACATGAAGTCAAGGTATTTACCAGGTATCTTAGAATTGTCATCAAATGCTTGTTTTCTCATATTGCAGAAATTAAGATTTCAGTGACTCTAGTATGGTGGAGTGCAACAAATGATTGTAGAGCTTCTCTTGTCAGTTACAGAGTTGTACTCTTGCAGAGAGCAGAACCTCCTTTGCAACATAGCAGTTACAGTCAAACATGTCTCTCATCCTAATATTTGAGAATATATGGACGAAATGAACTTTGCAATGCAAGAGAGAAAATGGAACTGTGTAGAAAATATTTAGAATCCATTTAGATTAGCGAATGTTAACCCTGCATGTAGCTCACATTGTTAATTAATGGAAGGACTGAAGAGTAAAAAATACAATGCTGGGGCCGTACTGTCTTCAAGAAGTTTTTGAAGCTCTTAGATGTGTTGTCTAAGGACACCTGGGAATTCTCAAAATTCAAAAGATTCTTTTTTTTTTTTTTAAAAACAGTCTCTTGCATAATCTGCCAGGCTGATTTCTAGTACATTGTCATTGTCATAATGGTAGACAAATATTGCCTTAATTGGCATTTCCTTGAGGCTTGTCTTTCTGGATTTGATGGTGAGAATCCTAACGTTTGGATTCTAAAAAGCCACAGCTTCTATCTTAGCATGTCAGTAACCAAAGACGATCTTCCAGTGTGGAAGATGGAGAGCCTCACCGAGTTTCATTACCAGTGCTTTAGTGTACTTGCTGTTACACTTTAAAGGTAAGTTTATTAAAGCCTTTTTTTTTTTTTTTTGTGAGAGGGTCTCAAAGAATATGTAGCACTTGCTGGCCTGATACTCAGAGAAATACATCTGCTTCTCTGTCCCTTAAACTTTTAAAGGCGTGTAGCACTACACACCGTTTATTTAAAGCCTTGAAATTGGAATTTGGACTGGCAAAGAGGAGGGAATCTAGCTGTCCTAATTGGAAGAGGGTCAGCTGCAGACTGCATGGACTTGGCAGGCCTACCTCTATCCCTTAGTTCCACTGGGTGAATGATTTACAGATAGACCTATTTTGATCAGTGTTTTGTTTTTTTTTTCTGTCTTTTTGAGACAGGGTCTCCCTGTAGCTCCAGCTGTCCTGGAACTTACTATGTAGACTAGGCTGGCCTTGAATTCAAAGAGATCTGCCTGCCTCTGCCTCCCAAGTGCTGGGATTAAAGGCGTGCACCACCATGCCTGGCTTGATCAGTGTTTTAAAAGTGAAAAGAATCTTGAATTTTGAATGTACTGAATTAAAATTTCGCTAAGTAGGGTAAAGATTTTCCAGTGTGATGGATGCACCCCATGGCTTGGCTCATGGTAGTATAAGTGAGCTTTTTACCATTCTAAAGTATGTCATTGATTCAGAAGCCAGTGTAGTCAGTGAGTGACTAAACTAAGGGATGCTTTCCCATAGCTCAGACCTTTTGTCTGAGTGATTTCCCCTGCCTCTGCATTGCTGAATTTCTGCAGCAGAAATGTGGCCTGAAAGGTTGTGTGAGCCTGGGAGCTGAAGTGAGTTAAGAGCCGTGCTTGAATCGGTCCTGCTCATTTTTAGTTAGTGAGAATCCTGTTTACATCTTACTTGATCCTGCCTCCTACATTTAGTCTGTAATGATGAAGAATTTCTTCTGAAAAGGTCATTAAGCAGTTTAGTCTAAAAACAAACTCTAAATTCATATTTGATAGTTTTAACCAGATTTTTATAAGCTTCCACTAACTGCCAGGCGTGGTGGCCCCTTTAGTCCCAGGAAGGCAGAGGCAGGCAGATCTCTGTGAGTTCCAGGCCAGCTTGGCTATAGGGAGACCCTGTCTCAAAAAGACTAAAAAAAAAAAAAAAAAAAAATTCCACTAACCACAAACTTTATCATAATAATGATGACTTTTACCATTGAATGGTATTCAGGAAATGAGAGACAGCTGTATAGCAGCGATGAGGTTAGGTTGTAGTTCCAGAAAAAAACACTTGAGTTGTATGTTGTAGGTCACTGAGGAAATTGAATGGGATAGTAACTAAAGTGGTGAGTGCGAATTCAAGTTCACAAGCTATTTCAAACAATCTTGTCCTGCTGCACACTGTAGAGGCGGAGACTGTATCTTAACCAGCGTTTCCCCACAAAACCACCCTGCAAACCTAAGCGGTTGATTTAAGGGCTCCTTTGGAAGCTTCTGCTTTGGAGGGCTGAGGATGACTGGTAAATGTCCCTTGCTTTTGGAGTGTTGGGGGAGATTCCCTACTTGTCAGCAGGGTATGCAGACAAGAAGGGTAGTCTCCAGAGGTTGAGAGGCTTGAGAGAGGCAGAGGTGTACAATCGAGAGTTCTTACTGTGTGGAGTCAGTGTCTCAGCAAGGCTACCAGTAATGCCAGCAAAAAAGGGTACACAAGATAGGGTAACTTTTGAGTTGGACATCATTTTTATTTCCTTATCAAATATGTGTTTGAATGATTTGGGGCTGGATGACTCAGGGGTTAAGAACACTGGCTGTTCTTGCAGAAGACCTGAGTTCCAATCCCAGCACCCTCATGGTGGCTCATAACTGTTCCTAAGTCCAGTTTCAAGGGAATCCGATGCCCTTTTCTGTCCTCCGCAGGCATTGAACGACACGACATGCAGGGAATACATGCATACACATAAAATAAAAATAATATATTTCAAGGGGCTGGAGAGATGGCTCAGAACACGAACATTGGTGCATATATATACTAGCAGACAAAACACTCTAAAAATACATTAAAAAATGGTAACAGTTTTAAATGTTTCTATAATAATGGTATTATGCTTTGTTTGTATTTTTTGAAGTTTTTTTGAGACAGTCGCACTATGTATCCCTAGCTGACCTGAAACTCTCCAGACCAAGCTCATAGAGATCTGCCTGCCTTTGCCTCCTGGGTGCTGGGATTAAAGGCGTGTACCACCACACCCAGCTGTTAAGGCCTACTTTGGACTTAGGGAAGGAATATTTTAATTTGAAACATATTTGGAATAGAAGTAATCCTTAAGATGAAGAAACTAGAGGCATGTCCACATCCAGAGCTAATTACCATATACCCTCTTGGTGGGCACAGGTCTTTGCCCTAGAAAATGGTCATCCAGGCAAAAGCATAAGAAATGTGAAGTTAGCACTACTGAGGTGTTTTTGACGTCAAAGTAGGGCAAAGTTTTCAGGAAACAGCAGTGCCTCAAGCACTCTGAGATGGCCTCTGCTCATGACTGATACAAGGCCACTGGGGACAGTAGGACTCAGGAATTCCACTGACTTGCATCAAGTACCATCGTCCCAGATGCTTAGGGCTTGTACCTTAACATTCAACTTCCAATTCCATGTTTCCTCCGTTTTGCTTTTTAAAAATATGTCCACAGTGTATATGTGGGCATGCATGCCATGGCACACATGGAGGCCAGAGGATAGCTTTGCGGGGACATTCTCCTTCCACGTATTTACGTGGGTTCTGAATGGACCTCAGGTAGCCAGACTTGTACAAAAGTGTCTTTACTTGCTGAGTCATCTCGCCGACCCTGTTCTGTATTTCTAAAAACTAGTTCTCAGTAATAAAATGAACACTGACTCACAGCACACACTTTGGAAGAGTATTCCATACAGCCACTCATTTGTCATCATGGCACATCTTGTTATTCATGAAGTTGCCATTTTTGTCATCTTGGCTCTTAGAGTTTCATCGTTCTGGACTTGTATATAGTATGATTCTCAAATTCTCCCTACTTGGGCACAACTACTTGAAGTTCAGATTTCCTTCAATAGATGTTTTAAAAAAATAGTTTCAGGTCCCCCCCCCGCCCCCACCTTTCTGCAGAATACTAGTTTTTCCCTCTTTTTTTTTTCTTTTTGAGAACGGATTTCCCTGTAGCCCTAGCTGGCCTGGAACTCACTATGTAGACCAGACTGGCTTCATTTCACAGAGATTTATGTGCCTGTCTTTGCCTCCTGAGTGCTGGGACTAAAGGTGTGTGACAGAACATCTGGTTTCCCTCCTTTTTGGATTGGAAATAAACATTTACTAAAATGTCTTTAGAGTTTGTATATCCCAGGCCAGGTTCACTACTGTCAGTATAGATGCTTCCCTCACACCTCAGAATTAACTGCAACTTATTTTGTTAGGAAAAATTAGTTGTGAAAGGGTTTGATCTATACATTATTGCAAATGAACCAGTTGTCTTAAATTTGTAACATGCTAATGGATGAAATTAGGTGGTATTAGTCCTTTACAGAGGGTACACATTTCACCTTAATTTTGCTATATGGCTTAAAGCTTTTCACTTCTGTAGCATATATCCTAGTGTTTGCCCAACAAAGATGTAATGTTTAAAGATTTAGTTCTGATAGAGGGCTGAACATTGGAGAACAGTTTATAATTTTTAAATTCCTAAGAAAATGAAGGTAAAAACACCACTTTAAGGCACTTGTTACAAAGCCCAACTAAGGAAGAAGCGTGCTTCGTGGGAATGTCAGGAATCGGCTTAGCCTGTTCACATGGCATTGCAGTGCTTGGTAGCCTAGGATGAACAAAGCAGGGTGTCAGATAAAGTTTCAATACAATTGCCTGAAAGAAACTTCATGACATAATTGATAGAGGGGGGAGTATGTTCAAATTTGCCTTGAGTGAAGTATCTGCTATTTTAGAACTTGAGGATATAAGGGAAAGAAAAGCTTTGAGGTCTGTCATAGGTAGAATCTGAAGGCAAAGGACTTTTCCTCATTCAGCTGCATGAACAAGCTTCACAGAGAGCAGTTTTTACCTGTACTCTTAGGCCCTTGAATCAGGTTGGTGACATGTACAAGCAGTGCAGCCCAACTTACTGGATAGCACCTGACCAAAAAGCCCATGTTTCCTAGGCTATCGGAACAAAAGACTATTACCAAGTGTGGATTCAAAATAATTAGGTCTTACTATAGTGATTTATAGTTGGTCCTTATTGACTGCTGTAATCACATTTCCATCTAGTCTGTTGTATACCTTTTAGGTAGACGGACAGGCTAGTTAACAAGCCCTTAGGTTCAAGCTAATACCAGATGCATCAAAGAAGGGTCATGACACAAGCAATTTGAAGTATCTGGCTTTGAGATATTCACAGAAATTAAGATTGGAGCTTCTGTTTGGTAAACTTCAGGCAGTGACTGTTGGCACACCACATGCTCTACTGCTACCTTTGAACACTTACCCAGGTCTGTGTGAGGGACCTGCCTCACTTTGTGTCCTTCAGATCTGACACCACTTCACTGCCTTCAGCTCATTTAAAACATTCCGTAAAGCTTTTCTTGACCCCTTAGGGAACAGGCCCCTCTGCGGTGAGTTCTTGAGGCAGCCGCTCATATGTGGGTGTAAGGATTTTTAGATTTTTATTATAATCCTATGCACCCACTATAACGAAGCTCAAAACAGTTTGAATAAAGTTTAGTCATTCCGGTTATAAAAAATATTTTCTAGTATTTGGGGAAAAAGTGTAAGAGTAAAGGCCACACAGAAGTTAAGTCACCCAGTCCTCAGCTCAATACTGAGCAAAGGAAATGCTGGTTTGGAAGTAAGACTTGAGGGTCTGGATGGCACACCAACTCTGTCGTCATTCTGTCAAGGCACTGTCTCATTGTCAGGTTGTAGGAACATTATTTTAGATACTAAATATTTCAAAATAATTTGGAGGAAGATTAGAAATGACACTAAAACTGAAAGTTGAAAAAAATTGGATATCTAAAGTGTTTAGGTGAGTGCGTTTATGATGCAGAGGCATTTTTAACCTCATTCTTGTGTGACTGACACCTATCCTGGTAGGTGAGGAGACGGAAAGTTGTCACTGTCAAGCCAGCCTTTGAGATGCATAAAATTTGTTTAGGACTGTCTTGAGTGTAAGTAGTAAAATCTTGAGTGACACGATTTTTGCATTTACATGAACTTTCATTTTTCAGAATCTGTTCGTAGAAACAGAGAACCCAATACAAAAAAGAGAACATGTATGCCTAATCAGAAGGATGCAGTGCAAATGCCTAGTGACACTCTGAAAGCAAAAACGGTACCCGAGAGAGTGCCCCGCAGATGCGCTACCGTTGCTGCAAATAAAATAAAGATAATGAGTAATCTAAAAGCAACAATATCAGGATCAGAGAAGGTCTGGATTAGGAAGAGTAGCAGAAAACTGCCCCATCGAAACGCTTCTGCTGCGGCTAAGAAAAAATTACTGACTGTTCACAAAGAGGACGATTACAGCCATACATTCTGAAAGTGAGAAAGAGCTAGAAGATGCTAGCGAAATGCTTTTAGGTGGTTCAGATCCTGGAGAGAAAAAGCCCAATAGTGACTCTCAATGTAGAACCGGTGGTACTTGAAGATGGGGGGAGCCTCGTGCAGACTGGCAGCTGCATTCCACACAACCCTGAGTTATCCCCCACTGGACCTTTTAAGGGATTTTCTAACAGCCACTACTCTAGGTCAGAGGTGGGAGAAAGGCTTCCAGTTAGGCCTGCATCAGCAGGGGTGTTACAGGAGGTAGAACTGGAGTGCGCAGCCAAGTGCAAGCAGTGGGGAAGAAGGGCCTCCTTTCTAAAAGCAGTCCCTGAGGGGCATCTCTTGCTGCTTTAGAGGAAGAAAATCGAGGTGTCTGGGATATTCAGGAAAAAATGAGAAAAATGGTCAAATGTACAACCCCAGAGATCAAACACACGGATTCGGGGAGGCCACGAGGGGTGCTAGTGACTTCTGAAGAGGAATGCTGGAAAGTCCATTACTGTCTTATTTTTGTTAGGGCACCGGACTCCATATGAATGATAACCACTTGGTATGAGTAATTTTAGGGAATCTATTTTTCTATGAAAGATGTGAATGTGGGTTTACACTTTGGTATCATGGAGCAGTGAAGATGAGGAGGCCAGACTTCTAAGAAGTTAGAAAAAATATCAAGATCCCAACAGTCCTGTCTTCAGATGATACTGTCAAATCCTACTCAGTTTACTGCATTTTAGAAGTTAGAACTTGAACACTGAGCAAGATAATTAAAAGTCTCATCAACTCGAGAGGCAGGAGGTTTGGCCTACTTGACTGTTGTGGAGCTTTACTTCACATTGTTCTACAGCTTAACAGTGGGCTTCAAGTAGTATTTGTTGAAATGAAGATCATTGATCTGTGAATGTACTGTCAAATCGTTTTAACATAGATGTTAATGAGAAAACTATCTTCAGCAGGTTTTTCTAATTAAAAATGGCTGTGCCTATTAGTCTATAATTTGCATGTGTAAATTTGAAAAAGTAAAACACACAAAACCTAGGGGTTGGTTTTTTTTTTCACTAACACTAATGCACATTTCTTGGTTACACAAATGGCCAAACTCGAGATTACATGAGAAACTGGTTTGTGGTTGCATGTCTGTTTAGAAAAAAAGAGGCTTTAAGTGTGAGTCACAACGTCGGAACCCACAGCGTGTGTCCCTTGCGCTTTGTATTTTACTTTGAAATAATGGTCTTCGGCAGTTTTGTTATTAGCACAGGTGAGAAAGGGAAGAACTCCTAATAAACTGTCGTTTTTAGGTGCATGGGGTTTGAGTTTTTGAACTTTAATGAAATGCTTAAACTTATTTCCAGCCCAAAATTTCACAAATTCCTTACTGAATACATCCTCAAGAAATACCGTGAAATGAAAACCTAAGTCTTAACGGCTGTTGTTTTGTTTTTTTTTTTTTTTTTTTTTAACATTTAGTGTGACCTTAGGTTTGAATTTATAATTTGCTGTAGGATGAATTTCTGTCACCATCGAGACTGTCTTTCTGGTTTAGTATTTAATTTGAACATTGCCTTTTTCAATTTATTGTGACTGCATGAAGCAAGCATTGCTTTTAACGTAACATTTTGTAAAACTGCCTTCTGGAATGTACGCGCAATTGAAATCCTGGCCAATGGAGCACCACTACTTAGTTTACAGTAATTTTTCAGATTTCTGGAAACGATTTCTAACTGAAAAATCAGATTGGCTGACTGGTAAAAGAACAGTTTGCTGAATACAGAATGGCATGCAGAAACGCACTTTGCTGCAGTTCACTGTGTGGGGATCTTGCCCGGGGCGGCAACCGCACCTGCCCCGCGCGGGGCTCCACCGGGGAGTGGTCCTCGGGCTCCTTCCGGAGCTTGTCTCCAGCAGGAGGCTAAACTGCCTAACGCCGCTTTCCCCAGTCGACCCCGGGCACCGTTCTCCACGTCTGGGGAGTGGCCAAGCCACTGGAGGATTCGCCAGGGGCCTGGGCGCGCCGTCCTCACTACAGACCCTGCGGCCGGCCCCTCTGCTTACCAGGTAGGTGTGCCTGGTACTCAGCCTGCGCTGAACCAGCACGGCGCAGGAAACCCGGTCGGTACTGGTACCAGGCCACGTTTCCAAACACCTTTTGCGATCCCCGGAGTGTTCTGGGAAGATGGCTTCGCCACTAGCCTTCCCCACGCGCCGGCCCGTTCGGACCAGTGAAGGAAGGCGCTGCGGGGCCCCTCTAGCTCGCAGTCCTCCAGCGTCTCTGTCTCCGCGGAAGCACGCTGGCCTTCCGTAGCCTCAGACCTCCAAGCATGGCCGGGCGCGAGGGGCGTGGCCTTCAGCCGGGAGACGTGAGGGGCGTGACGGCGCTGTGGGGGCGGGGCGTGGCCGCACGTGGAGGCGCGTCCGGGGGCGGGGCGTGGCGCACGCGCTGTTCGGCTGCGCCTTGCTTGGTGTATATGGCGGCTACGTTTTTCGGCGAGGTGGTGAAGGCGCCATGCCGAGCCGGGACCGAGGAGGAAGAGGAGGAGGAGGAGGAGAGCAGGCGGGAGACTCCGGAGGACCGCGAGGTCCGGCGGCAGCTGGCGCGGAAGAGGTCAGGCACCCGGAAGGCCTTCCTACCGGGCCGCGGCCCGGCGCAGCGCGATCCCGGGGGTGCGGGCGGGAGGAGAGCTCCCGGTCGGGTGCTGACTGCGGATCCTGTCCCCGGGGTCACCGGCTCTAACGCCCGCCCCCACCCCACACTTCCGGTTGCGCTGTGGACGCTCCCTGTCATTTTAGTTTTGAGACAGGGTCTTCCTGTAGCCCCAGCTGGCCTGGATTCACTGTGGAGATGAGGCTGGCCTCGAACTCGCAGAGATCCACCTACCTCTGCCTCCCAAGTGCTGGATCACAGGCGTGCGCAACCACGCCCGGCCTCTAGGTCTATTTCCAAGCACACAAATGGGTGAAATAGTCAAGTTTCCCCAGGCCCCTACGCAGCCCTGCAAATCCCACACTTGTGAAGATTTCATCACATTTCTTTCCTCTCCCTCCACCCCTGCGCACCCAGCCATGGCTTTTGGTACATGGATCTCATGATTTAGGTATTTTCCTGAGTATGCTGTTTGTTCCACGTATTTATTTTTGTGCGTACGTTGTATGTGTGTGTGCCGCTGCGTGGGCATGTGGGGCCAGAGTCTGAGCTGAGTGTTGCCTTTGTTGCTCTCTATCTCATTTTAAAAGACAGAGTCTCTCCCTGAGCCCGGTGCTTACTGTTTGTGCCAGTCTGGGTGACCAGCTAGCCATAGGGATCCTCCTGTCTGCCTTGCCAGCGCCGGGATTACAGGTATGGGCCACCACGCCCATGCTTTTAGGTCCGTTGAATTTAGGAACCATATATTGTATAGCAAGCACTTTTCTGCTGAGCCATCTCTCCAGCCCCTAAGTATGCTAATAATAAAATTTAAGTACCATTCACTAGTCCATGCTCAGATTTACCTGTTTGTTTTTTTTTTAAACCTGACCCTTTCCTGTGGTTTGTGTCTATCAGTAGTCCCTTTTGCTAACTCATTTAGAACAGTTCCCTCTTTTTCACTCTTGCAGAGGTCTAATTTTTCAGAGTTCTTCCTCCTGGAGCCTTTTAAACACGTGCACTTGTCACCTGAATGTGGCAGATGAGTGTCCCTTTGGCGCTCGGTCACATTCACAGCCACACATTTTGTTGGCAGAAATGTTTGAAATTTTTTTGTCTCTTTTTGCACTCTGCCTAGTCACCTTGCTTATAGAGGTGCTACACTGACTGCTTTGTCAGGTGGACAGCGGGACGGGTGTCTGCGATACTTTTATCCATTCAAAGGAATTTGCTGCTCCTTTAAGACTGTAGTGAAGCTTTTTATAAAATAATGACAGTATTTCACTCATCAGTAACGAAGGACACTAACACCATCGGTCCATCCACTTATCTGTCAGCTTGCTCTCATAGAACGATGGTAATTGCATTAACCTTGTTTTCCTTTCCGTCTTGTGTCTTGTGTTAGGGAGGTGCAGCTTCTCCGAAGACAGACTAAAACATCTCTGGAAGTGGCTCTGCTAGAAAAGTACTCTTGCTCCAAGTTCATAATTGCTATAGGAAATAATGCAGTAGGTAAGTGGAGGTCAAGGCTAGGCATTCTGTGAGAACAGACTGAGAAGCTGCTGCTTCCATAGATTTTAGATGTTGGTTATTTTTAAAAAGCGTCAGAGTAGCCGCTGGGGACATGGCTCAGTTGGCAGAGTACTTGCCCAGCATGCACAAGAGCTTGGGTTTGAGACCCAGCACCACATAAACTGGATGTGGTGTACATACTCATAATTCTGGTGATCTCTTCCTAAGGAGGCAGAGGCCAGTAGGCAGGAGGAGTATCAAGACTTTCCAAGGCCAACCTGGACTACATGAGACCCTGTCTTAACAAGTCATGGTAGAGTAATTTTATTTATGAGTATTCATGTGTACCATCTTTTTTAGTAAACATAAAGAATAAGACTTACTGGGCATGGCTGCGCACGCCTTTAATCCCAGCTCTATGAGTTGGAGGCCAGCCTCATCTCCATAGTGAATCCAGGCCAGCTGGGGCTACAGGGAGACCCTGTCTCAAAAAAACCAAAAAAAAAAAAAAAAAAAGACTTGATGACAACATTCAACATTCTTGGCTTCAGAAACTTGGAGTGTGTTGAAATATCCAGGTTTGCTGAAATATTTTTAAGGTAGCGCATGCTTTTGAGAGCGTTCTGAGGGGTCTTCACAGTGATGGCTAACATTTCTTGGAGCATTTTAGTTCTACAGTCTTTGCATACATGCATTCACTTGATGGGTTCAGGGTAGAACAGTGTAGAGTTTAGTTCGAACAGTGTCCATGTACAAGTACCCATAGAGACCTTTGTAGTTTTAGTGGGTTTGCAGGCTCCAAGGAGATCATTTGGGAACTGATTAAGATCCCTTGTCCCAGGAGGTAGCCTAGAACTTGCAGAATATAATAATACAACAAGTAAGCAGTAAATAGGTGCCATCCATTTATGTAAAGGTTTGCGGGCCTAAAATTTTTCAGAAGAGTTATGTTTCAAGAGTGCGGTATGAAGTCTGCTGACAAGCTTGTCTTTCCAGCCCTGGTTGTAATGCTGTCTTAAAGCATGACCTTTCGTTCATATTTCCTCCGAAGTGGTCCAATTAGATGGTCTTTAAACTTTTTCTTAGTTTAATTTTTATTTTTAATTATGTATATATATGTGTGTCTATTGTGGGTTCGTGCATGTGAGTGCAGTGCCCACAGAGGCCAGAAGAGGATGTTAGATTCCTTGGGGCTGGAGTTACAGATGGACATGGACATGCCCATGCCCCTGGACATGGGTGCTCGAAAACAAAGTTGGATCTTCTGCAAGAGCAGCACGCGCTCTTAACTACTAAGCCATCTCTTCAGCCTCGCACTTAGATGGTCTTGAATGACTGTTTCAGCTCTGAAATTGTAGTGTAATTGACTTTACTTTTTACTCAATAAGAAGTATAATTAACATATCTAAATACCAATTTATATGATTTTTTTTCACAGCATTTTTGTCATCATTTGTTATGAATTCAGGAGTCTGGGAAGAAGTCGGTTGTACTAAGCTCTGGAACGAATGGTGCAGAACGGCAGACACTGTGCATCTGTCCCCTGCAGATGCCTTCTGTGTGTTCTATCAGCTGAAATCAGATCCCTCGGTATGTGGGAGTTGGCCTCCTGTTCTCAAAAGGTAGTCATTTAGGTACGACTCCTAGACAGTAGATACTTCATACACTGAGGCTCTCTGTTGTCTCTCTGTGTATCTTTTAAAAAATACTTTATTATTATTATTATTATTAATTAAAAATTTTTTTTGGTCTTTTTGAGACAGGGTCTCCCTGTAGCCCCAGCTGTCCTGAACTCACTGTGTATACCAGGCTGGCCTTGAACTCACAGAGATCCGCCTGCCTCTGCCTCCTGAGTGCTGGGATTAAAGGTGTGTGCTACCATGCCTGGCTTATTATTTTTATTTTATGTGCATGAGTGTATTGCCTGCATGTCTATAAGTGCACTGTGTCATGCAAAGCCCACGGAGGTCAGAAAAGGGTGTTGGATCCCCTGAAACTGGAGTTAGAGATGGTTGATAGTTGCCATGTGAGTGCTGGGAACTGAAACCTGGTCCTCTACAAGAGCAGTCAGTGCTCCTAATCACTGAGCCATCTGTCCAGCCCCCATGTCTCTGTTTTGATAATAAGCTCTAAAAAATGCTTAACCCTGAAACTTTAGAGAAAAAAATGGACCAATAACAGAGTCACAAGATGAGTAAATTCTGTTTGTGATAGCTTGCTGTCCCTGGGACAGTTCCTCAAACCAACCTGGCTTGAAGGGTAGACCAGTGATTGGGCAGACCCTTTGCTTTTAGGCCTGCTGGAATCGGGGCGGTGCACAGTGCATTGTGTCTGGAGTACATGGAGTTACATAACCAGGAAGAAGAGGGAGAGGGAGAGGCTGGAGTCCCACAGTCTCCTTCACGGGCACACCCCCAATGATGTGACTGTGCCTAGCTCTCACTGGTGGACACTTAGAGGAAACACATGGGGATGCTTTAGGGGCCACCCCAGCTGCAAGCCAGGATGCCCATGGTGCCGTGGTGGTGGTGGAGACTGCGCTTTGCCTGACCAGACTCTCGAAATTTGACTTTTCAGGTTTTGCTTTGTCAGTGTAGCTGCTTTGTCGCGGAAGATCAGCAGTACCAGTGGCTGGAGAAGGTAGGAGAGATGGAACCTGTGCATGCTCAGGGTGGGGTGTCAGGGTTAGGGACCCAGCATCTTGTCACTTAAACCTGTACAGTCAAATATGATACAAGGAAGTGTTTGGATTTTTTCCCCTAAAAATATGTAGGAGTTTGTTACAGAATCTTTTTTTAATTTATTTTTTATTTAGTTTATGAGTATACACTGCATGTATGTAAGTGCACTGGTGTTGTGCAATGCCTGTGGAGACCAGAAGAGGGCGTCGGATCCCCCGGAACTGGAGTTTTGGATAATTGTTAGCTGTCATGTGGGTTTTGGGAACTGAACCCAGTCCTCTGCAAGAACAGCCAGTGTTCTTAACTGCTGAACCGTCTTTCCAGTCCCCCTAGAATATTGTTTTTCTTTTAAAATTTATTTAAATTGACCAGCCTAACAAAACAGTTCTGGTTGTGCTCAGGGTTGTAGGTGGTTGAGGTAAGAGCTCAGTGGTGCTAATACAGGGGGAGGAAGGGCAGAGGACGTCAGCAACCGCCTCTGGGGAGTGCCTTCTCATTCCACACCAGAAAACACTCTCTGTTACAGTAGGTGGTATGTCACTCTTGGTTGTGATGAAACACCAAGACTAAGTGACTTATGGAAGAAAGTGTTTATTTGGCTCACAGTTCAGAGAGAGTCCTGATGGCAGGGAGGTGTGGCGGCCTGGAGGCATGGCTGCAGGGGCAGGAAGCACAGAGGAACTGGAAGTGGGGTGTGGCTCCTAGCTTTGCAGCTGGCCCCCAGTGGCTTCCTCTAGAAGGCTGTACCACCTACATGTTCCATAGCTCCCTAAACAGCTCCACCAACTGGGGACCAAGTGCTCAAATACAAACCACAAGTGTGATTGCACCATTTATTTTAGAAAATTATATACAGAGTGTGTGACCACAGTTAAATGGCATTTTGAGTGAAGAACTGAACTCAACCAGGAATTTTAGAGAAAAACCATAATTTGGGCAGTTGGACATCACAGATGAAATATTCCTGTTCTGATGTGCTTGGGACTACAAGTGTTTTTAGATTTCAGATTTAAAAATAAAAACAACCAAAAAACAGAAAAACAGTTGGAACATTTGCACACACAGAATGATGTATCTTGGAGTTGAGACTGAAGTTTAAACACATTGAGCTTTCATATATACACACATAACACACACCTAAGTAATTTTGTGTGTGAGGCAAAGTTTCACAGTGTGGAGTTTTCCACTTGGCTTATCATTGTAGGCAGTCAGAAGGTATTTGGAGTTTGGATTTGGTTTATGGATGCTTGACATACATGTAGCTTACATAGTACATACATTAGTGCATGATACATTGGTATATCCATATTTTGAATAGATGCAAAACTACATATTTAGTACATACAGTCAGGCATACCTAGGACCTTAAATGAGCCCACCTGTTGTCCCAACCTGTTCTGTGAGGCAGATGTTCCCAGAAACATCTAGGATATATTTTAACATAGATAATAAAATTAAACTTATGAGAATTTTAGAAATAAGAAATTTCGTGTCTTCTATTTTATACCAGTTGACCTACTTAGAAACATTTACTAAAATTATCAATGCATTTTGTTAAGTGAATAGTCATTTTAAAAGATCTATAAAATTTAATTAGATACGTGTATATACAGTATACTTAGGTGTATTTTTCTGGGGAAAGAGGTCCAAGTTTAATTTTTATTTTTAAATCACGTAGGATGATTGTTAAAAATATCCTTGTACTATAGAAAAATTGAACTCATTTTGGGCTTGAAGCAATGTAAAATTATTGTTAAAGCAAAATCTTCATTTTGTTTTGCTTTGGGATTCTTGCTCTGTAGCTCAGGTTGGCCTTGAAGTTACTGTGCTCCTGTGTGCCTTGGTGCTGAGGCAGTGGACCTCTGCTGCCATGTGAGGCTCAAAGCAGAATTGTTTTATTTTGTTTTTATTTTATGTGTGAGAGTGTATTGCCTGCATGTAAGCGCACCCATGTCATGCAGTGCCCACAGAGGACAGAAGAGGGCGATGGATCCCCTGGAACTGGAGTTATGGATGGTTGTTAGTTGCCATGTGGGTGCTGGGATTTGAACCCAAGCTCTACCACATGAAATTATATATCGTTTGTAGTGCTTGGTTATCAAACTTTCACTTACATTGTTATTACTGGGAATAGCCATTCTGTCCATGAAAATTTTTCAGACAAGGCAGGCCTGGTGGCACCCATTCATATTAGTTCTCTTCTAGTGCTGTGATAAAACACCCTGATGAAAAGGAGAACGTGGTTCATCTAGTTTATAGTTCCAGAGGGGGGCAGGGTCCAGCCTGGTGGGAGGCAGGCCCCAGGCAGGGAGGGCAAAGCAGTGTGGTATAGGAGGCATGGTGGCAGGAAGCTGGCTGATCACATTTCATCCACATTCAGGGAGCAGAGCAATAACAGGAAGTGGGACCAGGCTATCAAACCTCAAAGCCCTTGGGGCTGGGGAGATGGCTCAGCAGTTAAGAGCAGTGGTTTTTCTTGGAGAAGACTGGGGTTTGAATCCCAGCACCCACATGGCAGCTAACAACTGTCTGTAACTCCAGTTCCAGGGGATCTGACACCTTCTGTCCTCCACGGGCATTGCATGGCATGGGTGCACTTAGTACATGCAGGCAATATACTCATACACATAAATTAAAAAATAATAAAATATTTTTTTAAAGTAAAGTTTAAAAAAGACCCCCAAATCCCTCCAATCCCAATCCCAGTGATGTGCTTCTTCCCAGCAAGGCCGCACCTTCCAAAGGTTCCTCAGCCTCCCCAGACAGCACTACCAGTGGGGGACCAAGTGTTTGGCAGCACATGAACCTGTGGGGACAATTGGCATTCAGACCACTCTTGTAAACCCAGCATTCAGGAGGCCCTGGCAGGAGGATCATGAGTGTGAGGCTAGCAAGGGCTACATAAGGAGACACGCTTCAACAGAGAAGCAAATGAAGAAAGAGAAGAAGGTTAAAAGAAAATGGAACAAGTGGAGGATCTAAAAACCTCAAATTTCTAAAAAATAGCTGTTTATGCTGTTTATTTACTGCTGGGTGTGGTTTCACACACCTTTAGAAATCTCAGCACTTGGGATGCAAAGGCAGGTGATCTCTGAGCTCGAGGCCAGCCTGGTCTATTATAGCAAGTTCCAGGCTAGCTGGGGCCATGGAGACCCTGTCTCAACACCAAACAAACATACTTCTTTTTTCAAAAAAAAATTTATTTTTATGTATATGAGTGTATTTCCTGCATGTATCTAAGTGTACCCATGTAGTACAGTGCCCATGGAGTTCAGAAGAGGGCATTGGATCCCCTGGAACTGGAGTTACAGATGGTTGTTAGCTGCCATGCAGGTGCTGGGAATTGAACCCAGGTCCTCTGGAAGAGCAGCCAGTGCTCTTAACTGCTGAGCTGTCTCTCCAGCCCCACAAACATGTCTTTACCATGGGTTTAATGAAAGGTAGAGAGATCCTTGGACGGTTTTCAGATCACATTCTGTAACAGGACATTGGGATCCAGCTTGATTGAGACTTGCCTACAGTTGTAGTGATGTCAAAAGTGAATTTAGGAGGAATCCATTCTCAGGTGTCACTGGTGGTAGGTGAGGGAGAGCACGGCAGGTGTGTACCTGTGACTTTACTGTGGGTGGCAGTCCTGGGCCACCAGTGTTGGTCTCTGCAGTCATGATTGCTGCACATCAGGTGGCTTTGCAGTAGTCCGGTCCTCGGTTCAGAAAGACCAGGCGACTGGAAGATTGCCTAGGCAGACTGCAAGGCCAGGCCAAAGGAGCAGCGAGCCTGTCTTCCTCCGGCACACTGCACAGGGCCAAGTGTGGGCCATGAGTCTCTAGAACAGGGCTTCTGGAAAAAGAATCAGATTTCACCTCAAACCATGGTTCTGTTACATTAGGTTTTTGGTTCCCGACCAAGAAAGACCACGAAGATAACTGTTCTCACGTGCCGGCATGTCACCGAGTACAAAACCTCAGAGTCTGTGGGCAGCCTTCCTTCTCCTTTCCTGAAAGCCCTGAAAACCCAGCACTTCAGAGACCCCGTCTGCTGCTCACTGCTCGAACAACCGAATATCGCGCACGGTCTTCCTGCTGCAGGTGCCTGTGTGGTGTGTTGTACGCTTTGTGATGATTGTTGCATTTACTATCACAAGTTTCTGATGATTGACAGCAGTTTCCATTAACCCTTCGTGTTTGTACCTACAAGTACAGGATACTTGCTGTGGTCCTGGAATTTGCAGGAATGCAGCTATGAGAGTGTCTGATTCCCTGCAGCTGGGTGCAGTGGCTCTTCCTTTTGGATTTTGGCATTTCAAAGTAGAAGCCAGTATTGGGTGTAGATTCAGCTGGTATGTGAAAGTTGGCAAAGTACATTCAGCTACCAAAATAGTAAGTGGACCCCAGCCCGTGGCATGGTGCTGTTCACAGTTAAGGTGGGTCTTCCCACCTCCATTAACCTGATCTAGCTAATCCTCAGAGATTTGTCTCCTTGTTTTTGTCCTAGTTTGTTTCTCCATTGCTGTGACAAAACACTCTGACCAATACCAACTTGGGGAAGAAAGGGTTTACTTAGCTCACATCTCCCAGGTCACAGTTTATCAGGGAGCCCAAGGCAGGAACTCAGGGCAGGAACCTTGAGGCAGGAGCTGGAGCACAGGCCATGGAGGAACGCTGCTTACTGGCTTGCTCCCCTGACCCCTGCTCAGCCTGCTTTCTTAATGCAACACAGGCCCACCTGCCCAGGGATGGCACCACCCACAGTGGGCTGAGCTCTCCCATATCACTCAATAATCAAGAAGGTGCCCCATAGATATGGCCACAGGCCAGTCCAATGAAGGAAATTCCTCAATTGAGGCTCCCTCAACCCAGGTGTGTCGCGTTCACACTAAAGCTATCCAGCACAGTAACTCTAGACCCTGTCAGATGACAGTATTAACCATCAACTACTATTTATACACTGCCATTGTGTCAGAAATAGATTATCATTTATTTTCAGTGGTTTAATGTTTTATAATATATAATTATTTGTTAAATATATTAAGTAATTTTTTTTGCCTTTCATATTGTTTACTAGCATGAGAAATAGACCATATGCATTGTATATTTAGTATTTACATGAAACTGATTAAAGTAGGTAGAATTGTAGTCTTAGCTAATTAAAATTATGAAAGGAATTTCAGGAAATGCAAAATAAATATATTTGCAAAAGATTATTAGGAAGATAGTTGGTTTTCAAAGATCAGTTCAAAATGGCAGTAACTTTGGTTAAAAGAGGCAAAGAGTTGACTTTTTAAAAATTAAAAATTTTATTTTACTTTTTTTTGAGGCAGGGTCTCCCTGGGGCCACAGCTGACCTAGAACTTGACATGTAGACCAGGCTGGCCTGGATCTCAACAGAGATCCACCTGCCTCTGCCTCCCGAGTGCTTGGTTCAAAGGTATGCCCCACTACCTCACCTGGCCTAGTATTGACTGACTTTCTTCTTCCTTCCTTCCTTCCTTCCTCCCTCCCTCCCTCCCTCCTTTTTTTTTTTTTTTTTTTTTTTTTTTCCTTTTGGAGACAGGGTCTCCCTGTAGACCCAGCTGGCCTGGAACTTACTATGTAGACCAGGCTGGCCTTGAACTCACAGAGATCCAGCTACCTCTGCCTCCCAAAGGCTTGCGCCACCGCACCTGGCCGAGTGTTGACTTTCTAAAAGCAGCTTTTATTATTTAAAAATGTTTAACTTAAAATTGGGTAATAGAAAACTTTCGCATTCTTTTTCTTTTTGTGTCCTAGTTCTGAGCTACTGTCAAGTGTGGAAAATTCCTGCAGTTCTGTATTTGTGTTACACTGATGTGATGAAGTTAGACCTCATCACCGTTGAGGCTTTTAAGCCTGTACTTTCTTGCTCTAGCTTGAAATCCTTGGCTAAGGTAGGTTCAGCTCCTCCCCTAAGAGCTACATTGTTAGAATCACGGAAATAGCAGGTCTGAGTTGTGGGGAACATCAACAGCGGTCAGGCCCAGCCTGGCACTTTGAACTTGACTGTCACTCTGTATTCCCGATGTTCTGCTCTAATGTGATGCCGGCTTTGGTCTGTGTACTGCACTGCAGTCACTCCCCACACATCCCTGTGGACACGTGATGTTGGTTGTAATTTTCGAGAAGGCAGTTTTTTTAAAAAGTGTACATCGTCAGTATACCATTGATTTCCCTAATTTTGAAGAGACTGGGGAGAATTATGTACTGCCCTAGTTCACAGCTCTGCTCATCTACTAGGAAGTGCCTGCCCCATTACAGGCCTGTGATTTGAGGTAGTTTGTCTGAGGTCTGTGGGCAGTCCACGGCCACAGGTCAGGAAGTGCTTCACAGAAGTGGTTCAGAGCAGTGCTCCCCCGTTCATTCTGAAATGGCCACAGTGATCATGCTCGCCCTTCCCTGCAAGGCTCTATATGACCTAGCCAGTTTGTTTCTCTCTGGACTTAGCTCCCCGAGGGAAGGGCCCTGGTTCTCCTCGGATCTGGCATGTAGAAAGAAGAAAGCCCTCAGTAACTTCTAGCTAAATTACCTTAAAACCAAAAGACCAGGTTTGTGTGCGTCAAGCAGGTCTCTCAGGTTAGCTCGGGTCAGTCTTTGAAGCCGAGTTACTTTGTACTTAGCTGACTAATGGTCCTGTGTGGCTGATGCTTTCTTAGCTGAGAGCTCTGTCCCTGAGGCCAGGAGGCACTGTTTGGGCTGTGGACTGCACATGGCTCAGATTAACCAAGGTTCTCGTGGGGCAAGTAAACTTTTAGGGACATTTGAGGGGAAATTAATTCCCTTGTCCACATTTTCAGTTTGCTCTCAACAGCTTCGTGGCAGGGTGAGATGATGTCTCTGTGGAGGGCGGGCTTTCCTTTCCCTTCCCTTATATCTTTTTTTTGAGGTAGGGTTTCACTGTGCAACAGCCTCAACCTCCTGGTTCTCCTGCCTCGGCCTCCCAAGCACTGAGATAGCAGGTGTGGCCCCGCCCCCTGCCAAGTACTGTTTTTTCTCTTTTTTGAATTATTAATTTCATGTGTGGACAGTGTGCTGCGGGTGTGGTGTGTGTTCGTGCATGTGGAAGCAGAGGCTGATTCAGGTGTCCTCTTGTTCCTCACCTGAGTTTTGAGACTTGGGCTTGCCTATGTGGGGAGACTGACTGGCCAGCGAGCTCTAGCGATCCTCCTGTCCCCACCTCTCTGTGCTAGGGTCACAGGCAAACCAGCTGTGCCCAGCTTTTTACATGGGTGCTGGAGTCTCAGCTCAGGTCCTCATTCTCTGCAGCAGGCACCTGACCAGCTGAGCCATCACCAGAGTCCCAGCTCCGTTGTCTTAATGACCCAGTACAGTCAGCCTCAGCTAGTGCATGGCTCAAACACAAGTGGACTTGTGGGCAAGAGTTATCTTGAGACCCTTCTCTGTGGCCCGCACTGTGGAGCAGCTCTATAGCCATGAGGAGGGGGCTCTGATGACAGGCTCACCCGGAAGTGCGTAGTGTGATGTGGTCCCAGGGACAAGAAGCCAACCCCAAGGAGAGGCTCCTTGGGAGACCCTGCAGTGCAGCCTGCTTTCCTGTTTAAGCATGTGAGAAACTGAGGCCTGGGGTGAGTGTGGTGCCACCGACTGAAGTCTTGACAACTTTTTCTATCTTTCTAGAACATTCCTCAAAGCACAGACATACTGAAGAAACTGATGACAGCAGAAGGGACTCAGAGCAACATTTACACGTGACCAGAGGCATCAGTGGTACATGGCCTGTCTGCCCAGGCAGCAGCGAGCACTGTTTTGTACTTTACACTGGGTGGGGTGTATTTTGAGGGTGGTAGAAATGCAATAAAATTTTTAAAATCAGTTGTAATTTTCTTTCTGATGGTGACATTGTTTACAATGGAAGTATTAATGATCCAGACATTTTTCTTTTATCCACTAGGTGGGAGTAGTGTTTTGAATTTTTTTTTTTTTTTTTTTTTTAAAAAAGGTGATAATTCTGAAGAGCTGCAGACATCAGAAAAAGTTGTATCAATATTGCAAAGTTAGTGTAGAAATTCTGGATGTCTGAAAGTCGGTAATCCTTAATAGGTGGAAAAGTTCTGTATGTCCTCTTCAGTACTGCCTGACAGACGGCCTCCTCAGCCAGAGTTTGCTACGGCTCCTGTCAAGGCGTGTGCCACTGGCTCTGCAGCACCCAGTGTTGGTACCTGGAGTGTGTTTCAATCCAAAGAGGCCACACTGCTTCACCAGATCAGCTTGAAAATGGTGGCCTGCACAAGTGCCTTGCTTGCCTCCCCCTTCAGCTATTGAATCATCATATATAGATTTAGACATCTTTTTCTTTTAGACGCAGCTTGCTACTGCTCTTGGTAGTGGTTGGAGGTGAACTTGAGGTGCAGTTAGCTCTGTGCAGATCAGATTTGGGAAGTCCTATGCAAGGTGCATTTATGATCAAATCCTGATATGGAAGCGTTTTCTGCACTGAAGTAAAGTTTGCATCCATTCAGAATGTGTTCATAGAGCCACGAGGAACCCTGTAAGACCTGGGACCTTGTCCCAGCTGAAGCTGGAGTCTCAGGCTGTGGTAAGGTATGTTATATTACTGTGACTGAGATGTCCCACTGTAAAGAAGGTCATTTTGGCTCATGATTTTAGAGGTTGCAGTCTGCTTGAGCCATGCCTGCCTGTGGCAAGGCAGCACACTGTGCTGGATAGCTTTAGTGTCAACTTGACACACCTGGGTAGAGGGAGCCTCAATTGGGGAATTGCCTCCATTGGACCAGCCTGTGGCCATGTCTGTGGGGCATGTTGATTGTTGAGTGAATGTGGGAGGGCCCAGCGTACTGTGGGTGGTGCCACCCATGGGCAGGTAGGTGGTCCTCTGTTGTATTAAGAAAGCAGGTTGAGCACAGGCTAAGGGAGCAAGCCAGTAAGCAGTGTTCCTCCATGGCCTGTGCTCCAGCTCCTGCCTCCAGGTTCCTGCCCTGAGTTCCTACCTTGGGCTCCCTTGATGATGGGGAGCCAAACAGACCTCCCCAAGTTGGTTTCGGTCAGTATTTTTTTTTCTTTTCAATCACAGCAATAGAAAACTAAGACATCAGGGTGGGGAGTGTGTGGTGGAGTGGAGCCACTGCAGGGTTCCCACTCCAGCCTGCCTTCTCTCTCCACACTGTCATATCAGGAGTTCCCTACCGTCGGGTGGCAGGAAAGAGACGAGGGCCTGGTTACAGGGGCTCACGGTGATCCTTAGCATCAGGTCAAAGCCACAACACTAGAGCCCCTTCCTGGGGCATCCTCAAAGGATGGTGGAAGACTGTCCCCATGGGGAGAACTTGGGGTGGTAGAGCTGGTTGTGCATTTTTCATGGTAGGAGAATGGCCAGACATGATGTCCATCAGTCTATGGGCTGTCTCAGTGGTGTGGCTAGACGGTAAGAGAATTGTAAAGAACGTGGAAACTTGAATGAACAGAGTGTCCTCTGCAGAGGCCTTTGATCATCAGGTAGGTTATTTAGATGCGTCCTGGGGTACCAGCTAGCATCTTTGTGCAGCCACACCAGTGGGCTCATGAACAGTAGTGGGGGATATGCCGCATACAGTAGTGTGGCTTTCCCCCCACCAAGGCTGACCTGGCTACCCCGGCTGCTGAGCAGCAGAGACCGACACTGAGCCCCTTAGAGGTCACAGTTCCCAATGTTACCAACCTACCAACGGCTTGATTACCGCGACTCTCGATAATATTCACCCTTTGTATCTTCATCTTTCTGTCACCCAGCCACTGGTTATCTGCCCAACAAGATTTGCTGCCATTTTGGATGTAGAAAAGAAAGGACCTTAAAGGAGTCCCACCTTTGTGATCCAAGGAGCTGGAGGGGCCGTTGTGTTGACTGAGGCTCTATCAAGCTTGAGATACCAGCTAGACATTTGATCAGAGGTTCTGAGTGGACAGCTGTGGGGCAGGGAGGCAAGATCCCAGTTAGGGTTAAGGACACAAGACATCTGTAGATAGATGTTTGTTCAGTGGGCCTGGGTGATACCACTATAGCCGGAAGATGGAGGACTGAGGAATGAGCAGTGGGGTCCTGCAGCATCAAACATCAGGGAGCCAAGTACCTGTGGCAGGGCGGGGATGAACCCAGTGCCCCAGGGCTGTGGTTCCTGGGAGCCTGGGGAAGGTGCTCACCATAGCAAAGGGCACATCTGGGTGCAGTGCAACAGAGGCCACCAAGGGTGATAGGACCCGTGCTCACTTTCTTCATCTGGCATATGCTGTTGGTTGAATGAATTATTACTTTGAGAGTAAGTGTATCAGATCAATGATGATTGGCTTGGACATCATACTTTGACTAGTAAGTTACTAATTTGAATGCTGATGGCTTATGAAGAGGAGTCGCTGAATGAACTCAAAGAATGCTCTGGTCTGAGTGTCCCCTTGAACTCACATGGAACTTAATTGCCATTGTGATGGGGGAAGGGAGTCCTTTTAGAGGTGATAAGGCCACAAGGGCTCCACCCTGAGGGCGGGGTTGGTGTGTAGAGCTTGGTCTCCTCTTGGTCTCTTTTCCAGGTGCAGAGCAGTGCTCCAATCTAGAAGTAGAGGCTGGGCTCTTACCAGATGCCAAACGGACCGACCTTTCAGTCTGGGACTCAGCCTCCAGAGATGTGAGTGTGTGTGCTTGATAGCCAGGAAATGGGATGAGAGAGACTGCAGTCCCACAGCCTCCTTCAAGGGTACATCCCCAATGATATGAGGATGCCCAGCACTCACTGGTGGGGGGTGTGTGTATGTGTGGACATTGAGAAAACATGGGCTGTAGGGGGATATTCCAAGCTACAGCACTGTGATACTGACTAGTGTTCTGTGGCATTACTAGCCAGCATTACAATCACCTGAACAAATAGCCTGACTCTTAAGTTTAGCTTTTGAGTGGGCCTGCACTAGGACACTCGCTCCCCTAAAGATCTCTGGGAACTGTCTGTCTCCAGGAACTGTGTACCGAATCCAGCCCCACCCACCCATAGTTTTATTCAAAATGGCTTCCCCAGCTTCAGTTGGGGAAGCACAAGCTTGGCTCTACCCTCATCTGAACAGACCATTCGGCTTTTTCATCCCTGGTTCTAGAATGTCTCATTCATCCAAGGTCAGTCGTCACTCCCAATCACCACTGTGTCCAACGGAGAGGGGGCGTCACCTTTCAGCTTGATATATTAATTATCCAGCAGACCCACAGCCATCCATTCATTCTCCTTTTTGGATGGAGTACCAAATTGAGGTTGCCTAGGAAACGAGATCAGCTGCCAAGAGCACATTGTTTCACCGGGGTTAATTAAAAGTCATTAGTTGAGATTATGTCCATTAATAAAGGTCATTCCCAGTGTTCACACTGCTATAATTGCTATAAATCACCCAGTTTCGGGTATTCTGTTAGAGAAACAAAAGAGAACTTTAAGTTTTCATTTTTCTCTTAGCTAGTGGAGATGCATGTGTGATATTCAAGGTTTGCAGCCCTAATTTTGACTAGGAGAGGGATAGAGAGAAGGATGTGGAGAGAAGTTAAAGGAGGTAAATCAGGGCATTGACGGTTGCTTGGCATTCTGGCCTCACAGAGAAGAGGCGGAGATTTGCCCTTGGTGAGCCAGGCTTTGAGCAAAGCTCAGCTGAACTGAGTCACAGAAGGAGCTCCTTTGTGTGCTATTCCACCTAATGCTGGGTAGCTGCTCAATTTGATAATCTGATTTTAGAATACCCTGGTGCTAGCTTCCGAATGGTCCAGTCCTGTCACAGTAAATTTGGTTGCCGCAAAGGCTTTGAATATGAAAAATAGCAGCACCTCTCTCTGGTGACCTATTTAGTTCAGGAACGCTGTGGCACTGCTTAAATAAACTCAGTTACAGCCACAAATAAAAGCCTCGGCTCAGCATTCTCTGCAAGTTGTGTTTTTAGTGAAACCTCAGGTCAGTGGCTCTCGAGCACCCTAGAAAAGGAATAAAGGGAGATGCAAGTGGGATTGCTTTGGCTATTTTGACACATCCCATGAAAGCAATCTGGATGCTGGCCTGTGTCCTCCGATCCACTCTCACAGGAGGGGAGAAAAAGGATCCCAACGAAGCAGCTGAGTGTACTTAGTTACCCGTGGAAAATGGTGACTTCAAAACCAGGAATGCCAGCTTTGCTTAATTGAAAGAGAGACAAATAGGGGCTGGAGAGATGGCTCAGCCGTTAAGACCACTGACTGCTCTTGCAGAGGACCCAGGTTTGATTCCCAGCACCCACATGGTGGCTAACAACTGTCCGTAACTCCAGTTCCAGAAGATCTGATGCCCTCTTCTGACCTCCATAGGCATTGCATGGCATGGGTGCACTTACATACATGCAGGCAATACATGGATACACATAAAATAAAAATAATAAATAAAAAATAAAACTGAACAAATGCTGTAATAAAAAATAAAACTGAACAAACGCTGTCATGAACTTTCCTCTCCCTGTTGTGCGTTTGTAAAAGCCTTTGGTTGGCAGCCACCTGCGTCCACCCTACAGGGCCCTTCTATGAGAAGGGAAAAGGGAGCCGACACTTGCTAAACTTCTTGGGTGCAGTAGTGGATGCTGTGTCTAGACATTTAGATCTTTTCAGACAGCAGGGCCAGCCAAGCTTGACCTTTCCTTGTAGGATTTCTGGCTGGACCCAGATGTTAAATTTATCCCCCCCACCGCCTGCTCTCTTTCTCTGATATATGTGTGTTCGTGTTCATGTGTATGAGAGTGTAGGCACGTGAGTCCTAGGACAACTTAAAGCGTTGGTCTTCACCTTCCACCTTCAGTCAGGACCCTTCTTCTCTCAGGCTAGCTGGACTTTGAGA